CATTACAACTTGAGGATAATGATACTACTCAATATTCAGAAGAATATATAGCAGCCTATCTAGCCGCCAAGCTAGAAAGGAAACAAAGAAAAATAAATAAAGCTTTTATCAAAAAAGATTATTTATCAGAAGAAAATAAAAATATCCGAGAATGGTATTTAAAAAGATTTCAATCACCTAGACTTTTGGAATTACTAAATAAAAAATATAATAAATTTTTACATAAAGAAAGATTAAATATAGGATTTTTTCACTGGCTAAAAGATCTATGTTTAGAGAAAAATATTCCTATTCCTTCATTTGATAAAACTCAACAAATTCAAACAATAGAAGAAAAGACATATATAAGTACTGATGGTACTACAACAGCTAGTATACATCCACCGGAGAAAAGTATTATACTTAAAGCAGGCATTCCAAAAAAGAATGAACCTGTACATTCCTCATCTTTCTATGATATAGTGGCTACCCCATATAAAGCCATACCCAAAGAAATAAATAAAAAACAAGAATACATACCACATATTGTAGAACAGAATAATTATACAAACCTATATCTACAATCACTTGGAAAGCAAACTGAAAGAATAGAGAGAATAGTATCCAAGGAAACACCTACTATATCTCCCATTCCTAAATCAGTATTATTCAAACCACCTCCTGAGTTAAATAATACTTTTCTCCGGTGGATGTATACTAGCTGTTGTAGTACCATCAGTACTTATATATGTCTTTTCTTCTATTGTTTGAATTTGTTGAGTTTTATCAAATGAAGGAATAGGAATATTTTTCTCTAAACATAGATCTTTTAGCCAGTGAAAAAATCCTATATTTAATCTTTCTTTATGTAAAAATTTATTATATTTTTTATGTAGTAATTCCAAAAGTCTAGGTGATTGAAATCTTTTTAAATACCATTCTCGGATATTTTTATTTTCTTCTGATAAATAATATTTTTTGATAAAAGCTTTATTTATTTTTCTTTGTTTCCTTTCTAGCTTGGCGGCTAGATAGGCTGCTATACATTCTTCTGAATATTGAGTAGTATCATTATCCTCAAGTTGTAAGG